GGCCATACGGGAAAGAGAGAGGGGCTGCCTAGGGCAGGCCGCCCCCCCCCCCCAAGGCCTAGTCCGAATTGGACTAGGGGGAGGGGCTGCGCCCCCTCCTTCCTTCCCTTCTCTTTTCCCCTTCCTTGTCTCCTACTCCTACTACATGGAAGGACTCCTAGTTGGACTAGGAAAAGGGGAATCCTACTCCCGGTGGGAGTAGGACTCCCTAGGGCGTGCCATAGAGAGGGCCAGCCCTCCCCTCCTCCACTCCTTTATATACGGGGGCAGGGGGCACCCCATGGACACACAAGTTGATCTTCGTGATCGTTCCTTAGCCGTGTGCGGTGCCCCCCTCCACGATATTACACCTCGTTCATATTGTAGCGGTGCTTAGGCGAAGCCCTGCGACGGTTGAACATCAAGATCGTCACCACGCCGTCGTGCTGACGGAACTCCTCCCCGAAGCTTTGCTGGATCGAAGCCCGGGATGCGTCATCGAGTTGTACGTGTGTCAAGAACTCGGAGGTGCCGGAGTAACGGTGCTTGGATCGGTTGGACCGGGAAGACGTACGACTACCTACTCTATGTTGCGTCAGCGCTTCCGCTTCGGTCTACGAGGGTAGATAGACAACACTCTCCCCTCTCGTTGCTATGCATCACCATGATCTTGCGTGTGCGTAGGAAATTTTTTAAAATTACTACGTTCCCGAACACTTCACACACCGGCCATCAGCAGCCGCGCGAGCAGCAGCCTGACGTGTCAGGCTTCCAGAGCTCTAGGGCGTAGCAAATACAGAGTATACCGAAGAAAGAGTGTGGCATGCATATACGTACTTGGGAGTGGTGATGATGGAGAACCACTCCATGCCGGTGTCGTCGGCGATCTTGGAGACGACGAAGAACCTGGGCACGATGAAGAGGCAGCCACCCTCGGCGCGGGTCTCCAGCACGCGGGTGCCGTCGATGCCCACCACCTGGACGCGCCCGCTCCCGCGCACGATGTAGGTCACCTGGTACGCCGAGTCGCACGAGAAGCCCGGCGAGCACATGGAGTGGGCGTCGATCCTCACGAGGTCGGCGCCGAGCCCGACCTCCTTCACCAGCGGCAGGTTGGCCGTGTTGAGCACCACCACGCGGCCGCCGCCCTTGATGTCCACGTCCAGCGGCGCCTCCAGGCAGTTGAGCACCATGCCGTCGCGGTCCTCGGCGCGCAGCGCCGGCATCCTGTGGCCCGCGGCGAGCTTGACGATGCCGGAGCCGGGCTGGGTGGAGACGAGCTTCGCGGCGGAGTCCTGTTCGAGGTCCCACGCGCGCGCGACGAACTCGGTGGAGAAGCCCGTGAAGATGCCGGGGGCGCCGGTGAGCTGGAAGTTGGTGAAGCGGCCCGGGCAGTGGCCCTTGGAGGTGTCGCCGAGGAAGAGCACCACGAGCTCGCCCGCCGCGGCGTTGTGGTTGTGCCACCAGGTGACGGCGCCGAAGGGGAGCGCCAGCGCGTCGCCCTCCTTGACGGGGATCACCTTCTCCCTGGCGGCCTCCGGGAGGACGACCCCGCATGCGCCGGCGCCCTGGAGGACGTAGGCGACCTTGGCCGAGTCGGAGTAGCTGGGGAGGGAGAGGCCGCCGGCGGCGAGGTGCAGCTTGGCGGCGCCGATGGAGGCCGCGCCGAGCATGGGCAGGTCGGCGGGGGACCAGTCGTAGTAGGCGCCGCCGTCGCCGCCGTAGGCCTTGGCGGGCTTCTTCGGGGACAGGTCCATGGACATGACCTCGGCGGGGGACGTGCGCTGCACCATCGTGGTCGTGGATGGATCGTGCCGGTGGAACTTGCGTGCGTGCGTACGTAGGTAGCTAGGGCTAGAAAGTTGGAGCAGGATGATGAGATTGGAGTTGGAGAGGACGTTGGTTGATGAATGAGAATGAGAATGAGATGGAGGAGGAGGATGCGGAAGGGCGAATATTTATAGCCGCCCGCTCGTTGGATAATGATGATTAGGAAAAGTAATACTCCTACTACTCCAGTTTGTTTGTTGGAGCTAACAAATTAATCCTGTTGAATAGCTACTACTAGTAGACCGGATCCTGATTAGGATAAGGATTTCTTTTTTGTGCAGAGATAAAAGGATATAGAGTATTTGATGACACGTATGCATGGTTTGCTGACCGGTGCGCATGATTCGGTACATACGTGAATCCCATGTTGTATTCTTGTGGCCCAAGGAAAATCCGAAGTAATTCTAGAGAAATTCGCTACATTTGCCGTACATACTGTTCACAAGAATCAAAATTTGCATAAAAAACATGAACATGTGGTGATCACGCCCAGCCTCACAGCGAACCTAAGCCCGTAGTGAGGCCATTCTTCTTCGGTCTACTCTACTAATAATGAATAGGGAAACGTTTCAGAACGGCGCGCCGGCCGAACGATTCGGCCGGTCGCTCGCCCACGCGGACGCCACGCAACACAAGGGCCTGCACGCATTCGTCTTTCCCCTATACTCTCCTCCACACACATCTCATCCGCGCATGCTTCGTCTCTGGACTTCTCTTCTCCATCTCCGCGGACTTCTCTGCCTCTCTCCTTGTCCTGCCTCCGGCGAGCGTCGCGGCTTCTCTGGCGAGGACAACACGGCACGGCGGGGATAGAGGAGGAAGCACGCCGGGGAGCTAAAACCGGTGGACGGAAAAGCTACATCCGGCTACGCGTGAGCTGCAATTTCTCTCCCCCGACTCTATCTCCGCGGACCTCTCTGCCTCTCTCCTCGTCTTGCCTCCGGCAAGGGCCGCGGCTTCTCCGGCGAGGACAACACGGGAGGACGGGGACAGAGGAGGAAGCACGCCGGGAAGCTGAAACCGGGGGACAGAAAAGCTACAACCGTCTACCAAAAAAGCTAGAACCATCCACCAAAAAAGCTACAACCATCCACCAAAAAGCTACAACGGACCACACCAGATGCTGGAGCCGGCCAGGGTTGGAGCTACAACCAGCAACTTTGTTTGCTACAACCGACCACACCAGATGCTGGAACAGGATGTCTTTTTTGCTACACCCGGTGTGAGCAACGACGGTGGCAGTTATTTTTGCTGGAACGGGCATCTAGATTTGCTGGAACCAGTGATAAAATTTGCTACATCCGTGATGGGTGGGGGCGCGAAGGCGAGCTGCGACCGGCAACCACAGGAAAAAGCTACAGCAGTACTCTAGAGCTACAATGGCGATGCACGGGAGCTGCAACCGTGGTCTACGGGCGACCATTTTTGCTGCATCGGTGACAGCGAGACGACATGGCCGCCGGCATGGCGTGCCGCACCAGGCAAGGGGAGCTGCAAACCATGGCCACAAGAGCTGGAACCGCAGCCCAGCGGAGCTGCAGGCGACCCCCTGCGGCTGGGATGTTGCAACCGTTGTCCGGCGAGCTGGAACCGCGGTGCAGTGGAGCTGCAAGAGGAGGGGGGCGACCTCTTGATTTTTGGGGAGCGAGATCGGTGCTGGAACCAGTCTGACGGAGCGCCAGCGACGCTACTCCCCGGAGTTGCGGTGGTCACCACCGGCAGTGCAGGAACTTCCCATCAAAGATGCTGGAAACGCCCGGCAAAAAAGCTGCAACCACTCGACGGCGACGGGAGCGCGGCGGCGCAGGCGGCCGACGAGGACGAGCGCGGCGCCGCGGGCGCCGGCGAGCGTGGGCGGCGTAGGGGCAAGCGCGGAGTCGTGGCTGGTCGGCGAGGGGAGGAAGCAGGAGACCTGGGGGAGCTGTCGAGAGGAAGAAGACGAGCGCACGAGGGGGCGAGGGGAGAAATCGTGTGGTGTAAACGAGCGCATCGTGCGGCTAGGGGCTGACCGGCCGAACGATTCGGCCGGCGCACCGGCGCCTATTGGTGCCCTAATGAATATCTAAAGGTAAATGGTGTTAATGAAGAATATATAAAAGTTTTTTCCCATTTTGTGCAGAGCATTCGATGTTATGCGAAAGAAGCTTTCCGTCTTTTTTGGTTGAAAGTAGATTTTGTGAACAGGAGTTGATCCTTGATCTCTCTGAGGAGAATAACTGCTAATATGGCATTCACGAGTTGGTAGTCTTTGAGAAAAAAAAAAGGTTGACGATGGTGCTACTCAGATGAGTCTGTGATCTTATTTTACTTGAATTCAGTCTCTGCTTGTATCGGTGATCCATCATGAACTATGCTCGTTTGGTTTGATGCCTGTTATGCCAAAATTTGCCGTGGCGGAATCTTGAATTAGCGAAGGTTGTCACCAATTTTCTTGCACATGGCGTGTCCTCTAAAAATCGGCCAAATCAGAGTCACCCTTCACGGCGAAACAGGTCCTTGGACAAAATATACTCCACTCTAGAGAGACCAAATTTACTAAACCCACTGTTATGCTGCAAAAACACAGCAGATCAGCCGGTGTTTGATCTGATAGTACTCCCTCCGTCCGGAATTATTTGTCGCGGGAATGGATGAAAATAAATGTATCTAGAACTAAATTATGTCTAGATACATTCATTTCTCCGACGAATATTTCCGGACGGAGGGAGTACATGACAAGAACAGAACTGAGTTCACTCCCGAAAAGGACCGCAATACAGATAAATTAAAAAGTACTCCCTCCGTCCGGAAATACTTGTCATTGAAATGGATGTATCTAGATGTATTTTAGTTCTAGATACATCCATTTTCATCTATTTTGATGACAAGTATTTCCAGACCGAGGGAGTAGTATTTAAACAGGAACATTCTTTAGTGCCCATGCATGACATTAACCACAGATACGGAATTGATCAGCCAATTCTTATCTTGATATTTGTTCCACAATCCACAGGTCCTGGTAGCAGTTGGCATACACTCCAAACATGCAAAAGGAATACATAATTGATACTGAATAACAGAGTCCGAGACACTGAAGAACGAAAATCTGAAGTTCCAGGTTTCAGCCATTGCAACACCAGTTTGGTACCAATGAGGCTGCAACAGTAATGCCCAAAAAGGTACCGCAATTCAAGCAACATCGTTTGCAGAAGCTAGGCTCCAGTAGCAATCGACGTAGACTTCTGACGGCCATCTGGGATGGCAAAAAGCACAATTGGTTTGGACGACCGGACAAATGGAACATCACACCTGTAGTATCCTTTCCTTTCGAGCTGTATAACTTCTCCTTTCTTGACGTTCCGCATGTTTGGGTCACCAAGAGCTAAAGCTTCTCGTCGAGTGCAAGGGTTGAGATTGTCAAGGAAGTCCTCATCTTCTTCCAGCTGCAAAATGCGCTAGATATTAGGATCTAAAGTACATGTAGATACCACTTAATGAAGGACCGAGACATGGACATAATGATCGAAGAGATGACTCATCCAAGGAAACATCATCACATACATATAAAAAGAAGAAAACTACATATCATCTACATCAGTTTTCAACACTAGTAGAGTGGAATATGGACAGGTTGCCATGTTGAGTTTCCAAGGACCAACCAATTCATCGAAAGTCTCAAGCTGTTGACTACTGAGGAAAGATAAGTTGGCCAAACCACCCATGGATGAACATATAGTAACTGTGCCACATAAGTATCTAATAACTAGTCCAAGTGAAAAGGCATCCAGACTACTAGAACGATAAATAATGTAGCACATATGTAGTGTAAGAATATGGTTCTGGCGCCCATGTGATTGCATGCCTACCTACATGAACTTAGAACATGATTTCTTACCTTCTTCTTATTAATTAGGTAGTCAAAATCTACCAAAGAGAGAGACACAAGGTCTTCAATGTCTGATAGCCATGTTAGTTTCAGCTTTGTCATCTTCACTGACCCTTCAAGATGGAGTTCACCAACTAGTTGAGTGATTGTTCCATTATCTGTCTTGATTTCTCTAATGATAGCATTTCCCCAGTCCATCAAAGTGACTTCCTCACCCACGCTAATGACTGATGCATCAGCATACTCTAGCCAAATTCTGTTGGCGAACGTTGTAGCCTTCTTCCCAGCACCCTCGTATTTCTTATGCCGTGGTAAGATTCGAACAAATGGTTCCTCTGGACCATTAGCAAGTGTGAGAAGCACACATTTTTCTTTCAGCACAGCAGTATGCCTTCCACAAATTGGATCGACTATCTTCTTGTTGATTGTCCAGAGTTTATCCCACTCCATAAGATTCAGATTTTTTGACGCACCCTTCACAAATAGAAAATACAAAAAAAGAAAAAGGGAGTCAATAACTCAGTTACTCAAATATACATATAATTACAAGATCATAAAAGAGCAACTCGTTAGAAATTACCTGTTCCAGTATAAATTGGATCAATGCTTCAATCTTCAAGCCACGACGTACTATGCCTTGTACAGTGGGAAAGCGTGCGTCAGTCCAGTCCTCCACCATCTTGTTTTGGACGAACCACAGAAGCTTGCGCTTACTAAGAACGGTATAAACCATATTCAGCCTGCTGAACTCATAGATTTCTACCCTCCGCAGGCCCATGTCTTGAAGGATACGATAGTACTGTGCATTCCGATCATGGTATTCACTTGAACGAAGAGCATGAGTGACTCCTTCCAGTGCATCAACAAATGGACAAGCAAAGTCATATGTTGGATAGACCTTGTATTTTGAGCCCACACGATGATGGGGATCAGGGTTGCAACGGTAGTACACAGGATCTCGAAGTGATTTGTTTGGGTCCTGCATGTCAAGTTTACCACGTACACAGCACTGAGTACCCCTTATGGTGCCATTAACCATCTCTTTCCACAACGACAAGTTCTCCTCAACAGTACTGTTCCTACGTTTAGATTCCACGCCGTCCATCCTTTCAGTCCTCATTTGCTCCTTGGGTGTATCATCAATATATGCCTTTCCCTGCTTAATCAAACTTTCAGCCATTTCCATTAGCTTTGGGAAATAATCCGATGTGTATGTAACTACATCGTATTTAACCCCAAGCGTCTCAATATCTTTCAGGACATTCTCCACAAATTCATTGCTTTCCTTAGAAGGATTTGTGTCATCAAATCAAACTATTAGACGCCCTTTATATCTCTCTGCAAAATACTTGTTCAACAGTGCAGCCTTTGCATGACCAATGTGGAGATACCCGCTAGGCTCTGGGGCAAAACGAACACAAACCTCCCCAACTTTTGCACCTGGGAGATCTATTTCATGACCTGACGTGTTCTCCTTCAAACCAGGCATCTTTTCTTTCAAACTTGGCGCAGGAGATTTGCCAATTCCTCGCTTGCCAACATAAGCAGATGTAACTTCATCCAGTGCATCTCCATAGTCTGCAACTACACTGTTAAACCAGCGTACAAGGCTTTGATATTTCTTTGACCTCCTTAGACTTTCCCATCGTTGACCAGTTCCTGAAGAAAAGAGTTGCGACCTCTAAGTCAAGACATAGAGAGAGAGGGAGAGACCAATAAATTACTCAACGATGAAAGAAGCCAGGTAATTACCTGTGAGATTTGACCACACGACAATGTCAGCAATTGATAGGCCATAACCAACCAGAAAGGTTCGAGTTGCCAAGTATCCATCAAGAAATAAGCAAGCAGCTTCAAATTCAGAGCCTGAGAGAATGAGTGGTGCGTACTCGAGCCATTGGTCAACCTACAGATTTGCAAACAACAGCAACTCAGGACATAGTGAGATGATAGTGAAAATCAATGTCAAACACCGTAAAACCAGAACATACTTGTGCTGCCTGAATATCGTCCTGGCCATAGAAGCTGGAAACAGATGCAGCACATGCAATGTACCGGAGAATTGTGTTGACACCATGTATAAAATCCCTGTGCAGAATCATGATAGATTCACTGAGACACTACAAAATACCATACAAAAATACTGCTATATTTCACAAATAAAACTGTTTTGCTTGACACATAATGTTCTAACAGACGTGAGTGCCATCAACACAATTTTCTGGAACCAGGAATTTTAGGATGAGGAGATTAAAATAAGAGGTAATCTTCAGAGCCAACTACAGTAACTTTTCAAACATATAACTCTTAAAAAAAACTATTCAAACATATATCATGGTAATAAAGTGTCGATAGTTCTTGTGTAAAATAAAGGAAATGTGGTACTTAATTAGAGAGAGGGAGGGAAGCTAAAAGGTATAAATGAACACTGATCACTTACCCAGAACTGAAGTGTAGTGTGGGCACTGAACCTGAGGCAAGGGTCGGATCAATGATTACGGAAACACCTGCAATCTTAGCAGCCGAAATGATGGAAAGTGGCGGTCTGTCCTGGGGGAATGCTAGTTTGACCTCCATTCGGACCATTGCCAACCAAAGAGCGGAAATCTGCCAATGGCAGATAAATATTGTCAGCCAGACAGATCAATGAACAAGTCATGAGCCAGCATGACATAATATGGAAGGTTGAACCTGAAGATCAATCAGCTAACACGCAAAAGGAGAAACAATCACTTTAAACGGTAATATTTTAGGTCTGACTGCTAAAATTAATAACACAGTGTAACAGTACCACTATATTCCCAATCATAAACAAGATTTGGAACATCTATCATGCCAACAATACCGCTAGTACTAATGTGTTGACCAATTTCGGCCAGTATAATAACCAAGACAAAACTCCTACTCTCTCGAATTGCATGTAACCGCTAAGCTTTGATTTGAGGTCAAGACCGTCCAGATAAACAACTTAATCTTTTCCTTTTCATGTATCGTTATCCATTGAACTTTCACACCTAACATGTTCAAACCAAAACATTTGCTCATCTGAAAAAAGAAAATCAAACTACAATTTGTAAACATTTGCCCCTAGAAGCATTATCACAAACACCTTCCAAGCAAAGTCCTTTCACATGTAAGTAAACTTGAATGTGCACTGGAAAAACCATGCAGCAAGCACTCATCACGAAATAGTCATCATTATATTCTCACAACATCCAATCTTCAGCAGGTACTCATCCCATACAAAAATCAGGAACAAAAATTGAACAGACAGAGGACGCAAGAGGAAGGAGAGGGGGGTGAGGGAAGAGGGGGGAAGGAGGGAGGACGAAGGAGTGGTTGCTACCTGCCTCTGGACTGGTCGGCGGCGTAGCTCCGGGCGGTGGCGTGCTGGGCGGGGACGGCTGCTCCAGGGAGGGAGGCGCTGCTGGTGGGAGCGGCTGCTCGACGGAGGGAGGCGCTGCTGGTATACTGTACCGGCGGCGGGGCGGCGGTGCAGCGGAGGATTCGGCCGGCTGGGCGCTCCGCGGCGGAGGGCCGGCAGTAATGGCGGCGGCTAGGAACCCTAATTGTTTTTTTTTACACTTGGCTAGGAACCGTATTAGTCTCTGAAGCCTGAAGGGCGAAGGAAGGAAGTACCACCGCTTTTTTTTTAGTAAGCCCCCTGCGAGTCCTACCACAACAGTCCACGGCTCGCCTGCAGACAGCAGGTATTGGCCCGGCCCAGTAACGGCGTCCCATCATCATGCTAATGTCATGTCGTTTGTTTTTCTTCCTTTTCTACTCACATTTTGTTTTACTTTTTTACTTTCTGCCTTATTTTATTAAATTTTTATATTTTTAAATGTTATATATATATATATATATATTATACAAAAATACTTTACATAAAAATTTAAAAAGGTTAACCTTCTATTTGAAAAATGAAAAACATGTATAGAAAATGTTTATACATTGTAAAAACTGTCCGCGTTATTAAAAAAGAATGATTGGTCATTAAAAAATGCATGTTACATTTACACAAATGTTCACAAGTTTCTGTGTTCGTGACATTATCAAAAAGAATGTTTGCACACTGTAATAAAATATTTACATAATTCAGGAAAATGGGTTATCATTAAAAAATCCAACGTGTATATAACAAATATTTAACAATGTATTCAAAAAAATGTTCAAAAGATGATTTTCTAAAAATGTTAAACATGTATTTGAAAATATGAAACAATTATAAAAAATTAATTTAGATGTATAAATGAAAAGGGTACAACGTGTATGAAAAAAGTAGACATCAAAGCATATATTAAAATAATGTTAATTATGTACTGAAAAAAATGTTAAACATGTGAAAAACAATATTCCTAATGTATACAAAAATATACAATGCATATGAAAAATGTAGATATGTGTTGGAAAAAAGAAAAGGAAAAGAAGGGAAAACCCAAAAAAAGCAGAGAAACCCGGAGAAAGAATAAAAAACGAAGAAAAAAAGAAACAAAAATTAAAAAGGGAAAAGGAAAAAAGGATGAAAAGACCAGAAAACAAAAAAAGAAAGGAAAGGGAAACCAAGAACCGAAAAACCCCATAGAAAGCTTGAGGAGAACGACCTACAAACAATGGAAAAGCCGAAAGAAATAAAACAAACGAACGTGTGCCGTGCTATAATGTTTTGTGGTCTTGCTAGTGCCCGCCCATTGGTGATTCTTATTAGGAATCAGTAACGGCGATAGATAGACTTGGCGGTTGCATGCGGCCGGCTTCGCCATGATAGGCCGGTACCTGTGGTTGTCTAGTAGATGGCCTTTGGATCATTTTATGTGTAGTAGCTGACACAATTTTTAAGGCTAATTATTCTTATTTTTAGTTGCAATTCAGGACAGTAACTGAAGGAAATATGTCCTATAGGCAATAATAAAGTTATTATTTGTTTCCTTAATTCATGATAAATGTTTATTATTAATGCTAAAATTGTATTAACCGGAAACTTAGTACATGTGTGAATACATAGACAAAACATATAGTCCCTAGTATGCCTCTACTTGACTAGCTCATAAATCAAAGATGGTTATGTTCCTAACCATAGACACGTGTTGTCATTTGATACACGGGATCACATCATTAAGAGAATGATGTGATAGACATGACCCATCTGTTAGCTTAGCATTATGATCATGTCAGTTTCATTGCTACTGCTTTCTTCATGACTTATACAAGTTTCTCAGACTATGAGATTATGCAACTACCGAATACCGGAGGAACACTTTGTGTGCTACCAAACATCACAACGTAAATGGGTGATTATAAAGGTGCTCTACAGGTGTCTCCGAAGGTGTTTGTTGGGTTGGCATAGATCGAGAATAGGATTTGTCACTCCGTGTTTCGGAGAGGTATCTCTGGGCCCTCTCGGTAATACTCATCACTATAAGCCTTGCAAGCGTTGTGACTAATGAGTTAGTTGCGGGATGGAGTATTACGGAACGATTAAAGAGACTTGCCGGTAATGAGATTGAACGAGGTATTGATATACCGACGATCGAATCTCGGGCAAGTAACATACCAATGACAAAGGGAACAACGTATGTTGTTATGCGGTTTGACCGATAAAGATCTTCGTAGAATATGTAGGAACCAATATGAGAATCCAGATTCCGCTATTGGTTATTGACCAGAAGTGAGTCTCGGTTATGTCTACGTAGTTCTCGACCCCGTAGGGTCCGCACGCTTAACGTTCGATGACGATTGGTATTATGAGTTTATGTGATATGATGTACCGAAGATTGTTGGGAGTCCCAGATGTGATCATGGACATGACGAGGAGTCTCGAAATGGTCGAGACATAAATATTGATATATTGGATGACTATATTCGGACACCGGAAGTGTTCCGGAGAAGTTTCGGATAAAACCGGAGTGCCGGAGGGTTACCGGAACACCCCGGGGGAACTAGTGGGCCTAGATGGGCCTTAGTGGGAGAATAGGAAGGGCCAGGAGGGGCTGGCCGCCCCCCTCCTCCTTCCCCCTCTTCCTTAGGTGGAAACCTACTAGGACTTGGAGTCCTAGTAGGTTTCCCCTCTCTTGGCGCGCCCTAGGAGGGCCGGCCGACCTCCCTCCCTTGATCCTTTATATACGGGGCAGGGGGCACCCTAGAACACACAAGTTGATTGTTTAGCCGTGTGCGGTGCCCCCTCCATAGATATCCACCTCGTCGTAGTGCTTAGGCGAAGCCCTGCATCGGTAACTTCATCATCACCGTCACCACGCCGTCGTGCTGATGAAACTCTCCCTCGACCTCAGCTGGATCTAGAGTTCGTGGGACGTCACCGAGCTGAACGTGTGAGATCACGGAGGTGTCGTACCTTCGGTGCTAGGATCAGTCAGATAGTGAAGACATACGACTACGTCAACCGCGTTGTCATATATAACGCTTCCGCTTTCGGTCTACGAGGGTATGTAGACAACACTCTCCCCTCTCGTTGCTATGCATCACCTAGAGATAGATCTTGCGTGATCGTAGGAATTTTTTTGAAATTACTGTGTTCCCCAACAGTGGTATCAGCCAGGTCTATGCATAGATGTTATATGCACGAGTAGAACACAAAGAGTTGTGGGCGATAATAGTCATACTGCTTACCAGCATGTCATACTTTGCTTTGGCGGTATTGTTGGACGAAGCGACTCAGACCGACATTACACGTACGTTTACGCGAGACTGGTTCTACCGATGTGCTTTGCACATAGGTGGTTGGTGAGTGTCTGTTTCTCTAACTTTAGTTGAATGGAGTGTGGCTACGCCCGGTCCTTGTTGAAGGTTAAAACAACACACTTGACGAAAAATCGTTGTGATTTTGATGCGTAGGTAAGAACGGTTCTTGCTAGAAGCCCGTAGCAGCCACGTAAAACTTGCAACAACAAAGTAGAGGACGTCTAACTTGTTTTTGCCGGGCTTGCTTCGATGCGATATGGTCAAGGCATGATGTGATATAAAATTGTTGTATGAGATGATCATGTTTTGTAACAAAGTTATCGGCAACTGGCAGGAGCCATATGGTTGAAGCTTTATTGTATGCAATGCAATCGCCATGTAATTGTTTTACTTTATCACTAAGCGGTACCGATAGTCGTAGTAACAGTAGTTGACGAGACGACAACGATGCTACGATGGAGAGATCAAGGTGTCGCGCCAGTGACGATGGAGATCATGACAATGCCTCGGTGATGGAGATCATGAGCACAAGATGATGATGGCCATATCATGTCACATATTTTGATTGCATGTGATGTTTATCCCTTATGCATCTTATTTTGCTTAGAACGTCGGTGGCATTATAAGATGACCCCTTACTAAATTTCAAGGTACAAGTGTTATCCCTGAGTATTCACTGTTGCTACAATTCGTCGTGCCGAGACACCACGTGATGATTGGGTGTGATAAGCTCTACGTTCACATACAACGGGTGCAAGCCAGTTTTGCACACGCAGAATACTCATGTTAAACTTGACGAGCGTACCATATGCAGATATGGCCTCAGAACACTGAGATCGAAAGGTCGAGCGTGAATCATATAGTAGATATGATCAACA